ACATTTTATTCACTCTTTGACCCAAAACCGCCCCAACCGCAACATCGCTCGCATCACACATGAGCTCAAAAGGCAAGCACCAATTGGGTGCGGTAATAATAGGAGTGGTGGTCAACTTGTGGTTGAGAAGTTCAAAGGCTTGCATACATCTTTCATCGAACACGAACTTGACATCTTTTTCCAATAACTTGCATAAGGAATTCATTACCTTTGAAAAGTCTTTGATAAATCTCCGGTAGAACCCTGCATGCCCAAGAAAACTTCTAACTCCCTTGACAGAGGTAGGGTGAGGGAGCCTTGAAATCATATCAATTTTTGTTTTGTCCACCTCTATACCATGCATTGAAATTTTATGCCCGAGAACTATGCCCTCTTATACCATGAAGTGGCATTTCTCCCAACTAAGAACAAGATTGGTTTCTTCACAATGGGCCAACACTCTATCAAGATGTTTCAAACATTCCTCAAACGAATCACCCACAACACTAAAGTAGTCCATGAACACCTCCAAAATATCTTCCACCATATCGGTGAAAATGGCCATCATACACTGCTGAAATGTAGTCAGTGCATTACACAACCCAAAAGGCATCCAAGAAAAGGCAAAAGTGCCATATGGACAAGTAAATATGGTCTTCTCCTAATCTTCCGGAGCAATCAAGATTTGGTTGTATCCAGAATACCCATCCAAGAAACAGTAGAAGGCACGCCCAGCAAGTCGATCTAACATCTAAAAGGCAATGGAAAGTGATCCTTGCGGGTCACTTTATTAAACCTGCGGTAGTCCATGCATACCCTCCAACCGGTGGCGGTCCTGGTAGAAATCAACTCATTTTGCTAATTTGTAACCACGTTCATGCAACCCTTCTTCAGTACACATTGCACCGGCGAAGTCCAAGAGCTATCAGAGATGGGGCACATAACCCCGGCATCCAACCACTTGATCACCTCCTTTTTCACAACTTCTTGTGTTGCCTCATTCAACCACCTTTGATGTTCCAAGGAGGGCTTTTCATCATCTTACAGAATGATCTTGTGCCTACAGAATGCGGGGCTTATCCCCGAATATCAGCTAAAGTCCATCCAATTGCCTTTTTCCTCTTTTGAAGCACCGCCAATATGGCATCAACCTGCATGTTAGTAATACAAGAAGAAAGAATAACTAGCAAAGTTGAACTAGGGCCTAAGAACTCATACCTGAGGTATGGAGGCAACGGCTTTAACTCCAACACCAGAGGTTCCTCAATTGAAGGTTTTGTTGGTGGAGTCTTCCTATTCTCAAGATCCAAACAGAGTTTCCTAGGCTCATAAGAGTAAGAGCCTATTCCATGTAAAGCATTCACACACTCCACTTGGCCTTCATCCTCATTTTCATCAAGATTCAACAGCATGACCTCTAGAGGGTCCTCCACATTGATCATTGTACTGGTATCATCAACTATCACTACTGTGACAAGGTCCACAAAAGAGCACACCTCAGAATTGTTGGGCTGCTTCATTGACTTGCACACATGAAAGACCACTTTCTCATCACCCACCCGGAAGTTGAGTTCCCATGCTTCCACATCAACTAAGGCCTTTCCAGTAGCAAGGAAGGGTCTTCCCAATATTATTGGAATTTCATAATCTACCTCACAATCCAAGATCACAAAATCAGCTGGCAAGATAAATTTGTCCACCCAGACAAAGACATCATCAATAATACCCAATGGTCTCTTCATAGTTCTATTCGCCATTTGCAATCTTGAAAACTGAGTAGGGAATCAAGTTGATACTTTCCCCCAAATCACATAGAGCTTTAGCAAAGTCCGCACTCCCAATATTGCAAAGAATAGTGAAAGAATTGGGATCTTCAAGCTTTGTGGCCATTGAGTACACTATTGCACTAACTTGGTGGGCCATCTTGATAGTTTCACAATCCATGGATCTTTTCTTTGTCGCCAAGTCCTTTATGAATTTAGCATAGCCCGATATTTGTTCTAGACCCTCCACCAAAGGTACATTAATGGATAAGCTCTTCATCATGTCAATGAACTTTTTAAATTGATTCTCATTTTTCTGCTTTGCGAGCCTTTGAGGATAAGGTGGAGGTGGCCTTGGCAAAGGAGCTTTGTCTTTAGGCACAACCATTTCCGGCATGTCTATTACATGTTCCCTAGACGGGTTCACGTCATTCTAAGTCTCCACCTTGGCCTCTTGAATATCACTCCTCGCTTCTTCATTCATGTTCTCATCAATCACATTTTCAACCACCAAAGGAATTTCATCATCTTGCACCTCAACTTCATCACTCAAAATTGCTTTTTGCTTGGAGGCATTCACATCACTACCTCGTCAACTTTTTGTAGTTACCAACATAACATGATTGTTCCTATCCTTCGGGTTAACTATCGTATCACTTGGTAGAGCCCCCTTAGGACAAGTATTCAAGGATTGTGAGATTTGGCCTAATTGAACCTCCAAGTTTCTAATTGAAGTATTGCGGGAAGCTAACTGAGCATCAGTGTTCGAATTCTTTTTCATCATCTATTCAAACATCATTTCAATTCTACCCATTTCGTTGTTGGAAGAACTAGGACCTTGGGATGGAAATGGGGGTGGATTGTTCGGTTGTTGATACATTGGGGGGCTTTGAAATCTTTGCCCCCGATTTCATTGATTGCCATTTTTCCAACCTCCCTGATTATTGTTACCACCCCAATTGCTTTTGTTGCCATTCTAATTACCTTGATTGTTCAGATTATTGTTCTGATTTCCCCAATTAGAATTTTAGTTGTTGTTCCCCCAATTACTATTCCCTTATTGTTGTTGATTGCCCCAATTACCTTGGGGTCTCCATTGTTGTTGGTTGGAAGAATTGCCCCTTTGGCCTTGGTAGTTATTCACGTATTGCCCCTCTTCATTCTGCCCATCATAACTATCATCTTGGTATCTACCACAATCATTGTCAAATTGATCCAAACTCCTTGATTCTGTTGACCTATTTGTCTTTTTTTGTTCACTAGCATGTTGACACCATCCATAGCATTTACTTGGTGCAGATTTTGATCCTGCTATAACTGTGCATTTGCTAGCTGGTTCATTGTAGTTGTTAGTTCTACTATAGCTTGCCCATGGTCATATAGCTCTTTGTGCAAGTGACTGACTGTGGGGTCACCCTGTGGCACATTGGCTCTACTTTTTCAAGCGGAGGATGTGTCTGCCATCTCGTCAAGAATGTCACAAGACTCATCATAAGACAGCTTCATTAAATTGCCTCCAACAAGTTGGTTCACTATGCATTGGTTTGATGTTTTAATGCCCTGGTAGAAAGTCTGTAGGATCATTGCCTCAGTCATATCATTGTTGGGGCATTCCTTTACCATGATTCTATATCACTCCCAAATTTCATGTAATGGTTCGGTAGGCTCCTGCTTGAAAGCTAAGATCTCATTTCTTAATGTTGCCATGTGCCCCGGTGAGAAAAACTTTGCAATGAACTTATCCGCCAACTCATCCCAAGTAGTGATGGAATGGTTAGGAAGTCGCTCAAGCCAATCCAATACCTTCCCTCTAAGTGAAAAAGGGAATAGTTTCAACCGAAGTGCATCCTCGGACACATTAGTTGGCTTGCTCCCCCAACAGGTATTCACAAAACCCTTAAGATGTTTGTAAGCATTCTGATTGTCACACCTCCTTTTTTACTACCCCCGGAAGGGTATAAGGGAGTTTTTTCCAATTTAAGTGACAATCGAAACGGGATCATTTCATCAAAAATTCAGAGTCGCCACTTGGGATAATTTTATGTTGTCCCAAGTCACCGGTTTTAAATCCCGAATCGTGGAAAGATTGAGTCTGTTTTACAGTCCGCGAACACAGAAATACGGGTAAGGAATTCTATTAACACGGAAGAAGGTGTTAGGCATTCCCGAGTTCCGTGGTTTTAGCACGGTCTCTCAACTGTTATAATTGGCCTATTATCTGATTTTTAATACATGTTTTAGCCTATGGTTCAATTTTAACTTATTAGCCGCTTTTAATCATTCTTAAGGAAGATTGCAACGTCATTTAAAGTACGTCTTGGACCACGTCATATAAATGCACCCGCGGTCCACGACACATTTTATCTAACGTTGCTGAGATTTGGATTTGGGTCACATAAATGCACACCCGAGTTTAGGAAGGTAAATTATTAAAATAATGCGCCTAAAGCAACTCCGCACTTTCAAGTTTGCGAGGGTCATAAAAATTCAACTAAATGGCATGCCTCGAGTTCTAATGGTTAAAATATCAATTAAATGAGGACCATGCATTTTTAGATTTTATCTGACACGGCACGCCTCAAATTATTCTATTAAAGGGTTTCTAAATTTAATTTTAAGGGCCATAAATTATATCTTACTTAATATGGCTTGCCTCAAATATAATTGTTTAAAAAATTTCTTATTTTAAACCATGAAGGCCATAAACTATTGGTGTTATTTAATATGGCATACCTCACTTAAAGATTAATAGGTTCATTCTTTCAATTATAACAAAAGACAAACTAATCCATTTCGACAAATTATTTGCAGAGCATCCAACCATCCACTTCATTGATCGAAATTTGAATATAAAATTACTCATTAGCTATACAGTGGATTTGATGAATCGTCTTATAATGGAGGTCAAACTCAAATTAGCAAAATGGCCAGTGATCTTTGACAAAGTCACAAAATAAATGAACTTGAAAACAATTATATAAAAATACATATAGAATGTTAATAAAGTCACTGTTAGTCTAATAGTTTTAACATGCCAACATAGGTTGTTTGTTTCTTTCTGCAGAATTATTAACAGTGCGCGAGAATATTGAACCAGAAAAATTTCTAATTAAATTTGACAAGAAACACCAAAATACAGACATCATATGTTCAGAATCTGTCAATTTTCTTTTTTTAAAAAATCGCAGATATTAAAAAAAAACAAACAAACATTGGGATTCAACATTAGTTATATTAAAGCAAGAGATGAACCTCAACCTTTGAATCCGAAATTGAAGCATTTTATACCTCCGCAGTCTGAAATTGAACTAGGCCATAGACAAAACAACTTGACTGAAGCTTGACAACCTCGAACCAAAACCCACTAACAGAACCTGAAACCGAATCGATGCATCGTGGTTGAAGAAAGGCAACTCCAGCCATCGGAAAATGAGAAATAGATCTAATGAAAAGATGAGAAAAAAAAACTTTGTCCTCTCTCGTTTTTCTATTTTTTTCTATCCTTATGTCTCTCGTCTCTTTCTAACTCTCTACTGTATCTTTTTTGCTTTTTGTGTGTGTCGTGTTTTCAATTGAGAAATCAAAAAAAGGAAGCTAGAACGTGAAAGGGGGAAGGATTCTAGGGTGTTAGCAACGCTCAGATTTTTTCTTTTGAGAAGATTGCTTCTTTCATTTTTTGTTTTCTTTGATTTTGGAAGAAGACCAACGGTGGATCTCCTCTTTTGCAGAGTGTATAGGCGTTCTTGTTTGTGTAAAATTTCGTTTGTAGCTGATTAGGCTTACCCCTATTATATAGGTCTAGGTCTAAATGTGTATTTTTGTGTATTTTGCAAATTAGTCCCTAGGTCTTTTTGTGTTAAGTCCTTAGCGTCTTTTTTTATTTGTTTTTGTTCCAAAGAAGAGTCTAGAAGGGTCCCTAGGCTTAATAGACTAATCCGAATTGTGCCAAGAATTGGGCTCTAAAACTCTTAAAATTGTGATCCAACACCTTAATTGACTCATTTTAAAATAATATAAAAATACTACATAATGCAAAAACTAACATGAAACTATTATATATTTTTGTATTTTCAAAATTATATAAAGATAAAAATAAGGAACTATTTTTTGTATTATTATTTTTTTAAAATTTATGAAAGATACATACAAAATTATTTTTTGTAATTTTTATTTTTCTTGTAATAAAATAAAGTAAAAGAGTAAAAATGAGTTGAAATAGCTATATTAAGCCTAAATTAAATATTTAGGTGCTAAATATGAAAAAATCTTGGGGAAGATAAAAAATCACATGTCTACAGCTATCCTTCTTTGACTAGAAACGCGAAGAGTTTTCAGACAAAGAATGACTAGACAGGTTTTTTGACCCGACCCTTATTTGGGAGAGACTAAAACTGAGAAAAGGGGAATGTGACCGAGCCTTGGTATCTGAGCTGCCTACATATCCTTGGCTATAAAGGAATCAGGCCACATATTGTTCAGAGGTGAGTGAGGCGATTGAGTATACCGAGGTGGAGAGCCAGTCGAGGTGCCGTTCCGTCGAGGTTCCGGTCCGCGGTCCAGTTACTACATCAAAAAATCAAAAGATGAAAAAGACTAGCTAAGCATGTCAACTACGAGTTATAAGATTCTTATCTATAAGTCTTCTGAAGCTTGATCTTAAGTCTTGAATGGTTCTTCATGCAGACTTTGGATTTGAACCTTGACGCTTGCTAGTTGCAGGTGCTACTGCTTACTAACTTCCTTATTACACCAGACAAAATAAAAGAAGCTAGACTAAACTATGAGCTATGCATTACAAGAATCCTATATGTATCTTCAAACTTGATCTTGTAATTCCTGTTGCCCTGTTGACTTGTATTTTCTAGATGAAGTCCCTTTGCTGCCGACTCGAATTGTGATCTGAGACACTTTCCCTTTTCTTTAGGTGGACGCCTGATTGCTGAACTCGAATTACAATCTGAGATGCTTTTCATTTCTCCAGGTGGACGTCTGATTGCAAAAACTTCAACTATATTCTCGTGCTCTCCAGGTGGGTGCCTGATTGCTGAACTTGAACTGTATTCCCGTGCTCTCCAGGTGGGCGCCTGACTGCTGAACTTGAACTGTATTCATGTGCTCTCCAGGTGGGCGCCTGACTGCTGAACTTGAATTGTATTCACGTGCTCTCCAAGTGGGCTCCTGATTGCTGAACTTGAATTGTATTCCCGTGCTCTCCAGGTGGGCTCCTGATTTCAGAACTTGAACTGTATTCCCGTGCTCTCCAGGTGGGTGCCTGATTGCTGAACTTGAATTGTATTCTTGTGCTCTCCAGGTGGGCTCCTGATTTCTAACTTGAACTGTATTCTCGTGCTCTCCAGGTGGGTGCCTGATTGCTGAACTTGAACTGTATTCCTGTGCTCTCCAGGTGGGCGCCTGATTGCTGAACTTGAACTGTATTCCCGTGCTCTTCGGGTGGGCGCCTGATTTCTGAACTTGAACTGTATCCCCGTGCTCTCCATGTGGGTGCCTGATTGCTGAACTTGAACTTTATTCCCGTGCTCTCCAAGTGGGAGCCTGATTTCTGAACTTGAACTGTATTCCCGTGCTCTCTAGGTGGGCGCCTGATTTCTGAACTTGAACTGTATTCCCGTGCTCTCTAGGTGGGCGCCTGATTTCTGAACTTGAACTGTATTCCCGTGCTCTCCAGGTGGTCGCCTGATTTCTGAACTTGAACTATATTCCCGTGCTCTCCAGGTGGGTGCCTAATTGCTGAACTTGAACTGTATTCTCGTGCTCTCTAGGTGGGCG